ATCGTGCTTCCAACGAGTCCGGAAATTAAACGAAGACATCGTTACGTTGGAACGCTGGCGTACGACGAGACAACGATGGCACGAAGAGAACGGCGCGCCGCCGTGGCTAGAGTCTATCACGAAGGAATTTTCGAACCGTCCGCGAAAAGTCTACCTCCTCTCTCTCTCTCTCTCTCTCCACTTGAACGCAAGAATCGAGGCAGAAATACACACAGAAGAGGAAGAGAAGGAAAGAACATCGTGCTGCACTCTCGGTAGCAGAGAGATCGGTCGGTATTTCATTAAGGCGGCCCGACAACGCTCGGAAAACGCGAAACAACGTGGAACAACTGGCCGGAGGTTATACTCGGCCCGCGGTAACATAGTTAGGCGAGAGTGCAGCTCGAGATATTGCGCGAGCACGGCAACTACTCTCGGCCGAGCAGCAACGTGAGTGGAGGAGCGCGAACGTGCTGAAGAAAGACGAAGGCAAAAGAGAGGAGGAGGAGGAGGAGAGACAGGGTGAGAGAGAGAAATATAGAGAGAAACATGGAAGAAACGGCGAGAGAAGGACGAGAGAAAGGGTGAGAGAGGCGGAGGGCGCGAGAAGAGGATGAGAGGAACAGGCTGAGGGGCGCGAAGGTTTAGAAGAGCCACCTAGAGGTGGATGGAACGAAAGAGGGGAAGAGTCGGAAGTACTCTCGTGTCAAGAGGAGATTCTGAGTGCTCTCCTGAGAGACGACCATGCACAGCGCGCGAGAGCAAGAGGAGAAAAGACGTTGCTGTAAGAGAGAGAGAGAGAGACGAGGTTCGACGAAACGCAAGGGATGGAACGATGGAACCAGAGGCTGTGCGCAGCTACGTACGTGTAGAGGAGTTTGTGTGCGAGATAGGAGAGTCACTTGAAGCCCTCGCGACTTTGTCAGCGCTACATGGAGCCTAAGTGCGAACGTTCTTGCACTCGTGTGTCGTCCCAAGGAGAGGGACGAGGACGTGCCGCTGCACAAGTGGATCTTCGAGGTCAAGATCGAGGGTTCTGCGAGTTTCAGGCTTAAGCACGATCGTTTGCGTCACCGTTGTATTGCGGCCCGCTTGAAATATCCCTCTGTCACACGCTATATGCGGCTGCTCTCTCTACCACCCCACACACACACATTTTTTTCTCACGCTCCGCCGTCACTGTATCGCGTTACTACCAATTTTCTTGATACTCGGCGCTTTCGATGCAACGGTTGAACGAACTCTCCCATCTCCCTTCGATGGGATCTACGTTATTGGTTTTTTCGACGCGATACTACTGCATGGAAATGATGGGATTAGTTGCTTTGTTCGGTGACTGGGAATGTACTGATCTCGGATTGATATTTCATACCTGGTGATTTATTTTTTTTTTTCTTTTTTTGCGACGGTGGAATTTTGTTGTTGTTCGTGTATGTTTGTGGAGTAGTTGGGTATGTACGTATCGATGTGAAGTTACGTTGTGGTATTTTCTTTGGTTTATCGATAGATTTCTTTCTTTTCTTTTTTTTTTTCTGTGCTGTAGTGTGTAGATGTATTAAATTGATCGAAGAATTTCACGATTTACAAACTGTTGACATAATACACCGTCTTCCTGCGAGAACACAGTAGTTAAATATGTATGTATGTTAACAACTTCAGTCTTTGCTTACTGAGGCAGTCAGACTTCGTATGAATTTACACTTTGAGGCAGGAAGTGAGCACACCGATGAATAATGCTTCAGAAAATAACCAGCTGTGAGAAGTTATCGACCGAGCGCAGACGACCGAGTCATCCGACACTCCCAAGTGTGAATAATTAAAAGTTCTTAAATTCGCAAATTTGAAAATTCGATATTCGGTAATTCGAAACTCAACGGTTGAGAATTTTTATATTCAGAGAGTCAGGCTTCGAAATTCAGGAACTCATAATTGAAAAATTCCAACTGCAAGATTCAAGATTTGAAATTTAATAAATTATAATATTCCAAAGTTTAAATATCCCAAAATTGAATAATTCCGAAATTTAAATATTCAAAAATTAAAAAATTCCAAACGTCGAAATCTAAATTCTTC